TTAATCCATCAAGTGTTCTTTCATCTAGTTCTTTTTCCGGTAGGATTTGGTATTTTCCATGCCATATTTCTCCCCTTTTTTCGAGGTTGGTTATCTTTATTCTTTCTAAGCCTCGCAATTGGATTTCTTTGAGAGAATTGATAATTGGTTCTAGGTCAGCCTCGGCCGAGATGTCTAAATTAATCTTGGCTAGGGTTCCAATGGGTACAAATTTCTCAGAATTTTCGGGAAATTTTTCCTTATTGGGAATAACGAGTAAATGACCTTGACAATCTTTTCAGGCTTGCAGAAGCAACTTTTTTCAATAGATATTGTTCTCTAATGAAAGATAATTATCACATCTTGGGAATAAAAAAAAGTTGTCTAATAATAAAATGGGAAACTCATTCATAATATTTAATTTGTTATATTTTTATTCTATTATTTTTAATTTTAATAAATTATGGCGCCCATGAAGAGAATCGAACTCCCGGCCAAACGCTTAGAAGGCGTTTGCTCTAATCCACTGAGCTACATGGGCCCATTAATTATTTTTAGAAAAGGTTCGCGGTTGATTCAACTTTATGAATTCTAAAATCCTTTTAGCATTAGCAAAAGGGTTAACGTTAGTGGTGTCAACCTCCAAATCATACTCTCAACTTAATTTTTCCATTTTAGTGAATTGACCTCGGGCTAGACCTCAAGTTCGGTCTCCGCGAAGTATTTCTCCTTCTTCTATTAGTGGAAGTTCACAATTTACCTTCACATAATAGACCTGGTGATTTTTCAAAAGTGAGGCATAAATTTCTAGTTCTTTTTTATCTCAAATTACTTCATCGAGAATATGATTATGTCCATCGTCGGCTAACTGTTTGACAACTCTATGAATTGACTGGCCGACCTTCTTTCCGTAATCACCCCTTTCCACTTTTATAATTGGAAATCCTTTTTCGTCAGTTTCCGAAACAAAATTAATCCCTTCACTGGCTTTTTGGCCACCCGGCAAATACTTAGCAGGCATGACGGCAAAGGATATATCGACGCCAGTAGTTAGTCATGGTTCTTCGCTTAAATGTTGAATAGTTTTTACCAAGGAGGATTTTCCGGCTGATGAAGGTCCATTTAGAAAGATAATTTTATTTTTCATTAGCTTCTATCAATTTTAAAACCTTTTGTGCGTTGGCAAAAGGGCTTGTCTGACTGGTGTCAACAACCAAATCGTAAGGAAATTGGAAATTTTTCTCATTTTGGTAAAAAATCTTTGCCATTCCTATAACCCTATCTCCCCTTGATTTTTCTCTTTGTTCCATGGTTGCCAAATTGCACTTTACACCAACCATTAGAAGTTTGTGTTCGGAGAAAAAAGTTTTGTAATCACTAATCAAGAATTCAGTCTCGTTTTTCTTAACAAAATTACATTCATCAAAAATTACGTTTAAGCCGTTATCGGCTAGTAATTTTACTATTTTTGGCAAGCAAGAAAATACTAATCCAGCATAAGGACTGACTTTCATTTCAATTAAATCACCTGTTTTAGGGTCAATCACATAGCGAAATCCTGCTTCGGCTTTTTGGTCGAAACCAACAATTTTTCTTGGCAGAGCACCAAAAAGAGTGTCAATTCCTACATACAAAAACTTTTCTTCGCTTAATTCTTGAATCGCTTTCGCCAGAGTAGATTTGCCCGCTGAGGCACAGCCATTCAAAAAAATAATTTTACTTTTTATTACCAATTAAAAATAATAGTGAGAGATTATTAGTACTGGCAATGAACTATCTTCCCCGTAAAGAGTATTTTCGCCACTAAAGTGCTTGACTTCTGTATTCGGAATGGGAACAGGTATTACCACTTTGTTATAATCACCAGTACAACAAATTCTCTCAAAACCGAACGCAAAATTGAAAAATACCAAAAATAAGTCCTCGATAAATTAGTATGGCTTAGCTTAATACATTACTATACTTACACTTGCCACCTATCAACCTCCTAGTCTGGAAGGTATCTTACTCCTTACGGATGGGAAATCTTATCTTGAAGTTAGTTTCGCACTTATATGCTTTCAGTGCTTATCTATTCCTGACATAGCTAGCCAGCCGTGCCTTTGACAAGACAACTGGTACACCATTGGTCAGTCCACTCCGGTCCTGGCGTACTGAGAGCAGATCTTCGCAAATTTCCTACGCCCACAACAGATAGGGACCAAACTGTCTCACGACGTTCTAAACCCAACTCACGTACCGCTTTAATGGGCGAACAGCCCAACCCTTGGAAGCTTCTTCACCTCCAGGATGCGATGAGTCGACATCGAGGTGCCAAACACTTCCGTCGATGTGATCTCTTGGGAAGTATTAGCCTGTTATCCCCGGGGTAACTTTTGTCCGTTTAGCGACGGCCTTACCACTAAGTACCGCCGGATCACTAAGTCCTACTTTCGTATCTGTTCGACTTGTAAGTCTCACAGTTAAGCATCCTTGTACCTTTACGCTCTACATAGGATTTCTATACCTATTGAGGATACCTTATGAACACCTCCGTTACTTTTTAGGAGGCGACCGCCCCAGTCAAACTACCCACCAAACACTGTCCTTTTGGCTGTAAACCAATAAGTTAGAATTATTCTGCCTATAAGGGTGGTGTCCCACCGACGACTCCTCCAAAACTGGCACCTTGGAATCACAGTCTCCCACCTACTGTCACAGTACAAACGGGAGAAAATTCAATATTAAGTTGCAGTAAAGCTCCACGGGGTCTTTCCGTCTAGTTGCGGGTAACCGGCATCTTCACCGGTACTAAGATTTCACCGAGTCTATAGTTGAGACAGTGCACCAGTCATTACGTCTTTCATGCGGGTCAGAACTTCAATAAATGTTAGCTAATAGTTTCCTATTAGTTCAGACTATATCTTCACCTTATCCAATAATTTTAGAAGGAATTCTTTCGTGTATTTTCTTTTTCCCGAGACATTCATCTCAAATGCTAAATTAATGACTTGTTTTACTCCTGATACTGAGAGATGGTGATTAGACTTAATAATAAGACAAACCTTTTTAAAATTTTCAAAATCTAATTTTTTGGCAGTTCTTAATGTATTAGTCTCAAAATAAGGAATAACCTTCTCGCAAATATCATTAATCTGACGAACTTCGTATTTTCACATTTGGTCTTTTTTGGAAAACCTAATAAATCCGGCTTGAAATAAATTTTGAATCTCATGGAGAACAACTTTATTTAAACTTTCTTTATCTTTTCTTTGAGCACAAGAAAAACTTGGCCTTATTTCAAAGCCATGTTTCATTTTGCTTCGTAAAGAAAAACTAATGGAAAAACAACCTTCGCCATCAACAAATCCGGTTAATCAAGCATCTTTTTTGCTTGTTAGTTTATAATCAATTTCCTTCATAATTACCTTTTACTAAATAAGGGCTAACGTTTTAACTCATTATTAATAATTTTTAATTTTGAGTTCTCAACTTTCGTTTCAGTCGTTACGGGTCACAAAATTATTGTGTTCCCACGGTATTCCCTTGGAAGTTAATTCGTTAGGGTTCACCGTTATTAGTCAGTTTACTTAAACAATATTACTACTGTTTTCAGGCAAATTCTTTTCACCTGACAAGGAGTTTCGCTACCTTTGGACGGTTATAGTTACCGCCGCCGTTCACTCGGGCTTCAATTCAGAGCTTCACCAGTATCTTACTACTGGCTAACCCCCCCTCTTAACCTTGGAGCACTGGGCAGACGTCGCCCCCTATACATCGGCTTACGCCTTAGCAGAGAGCTGTGTTTTTGATAAACAGTTGCCGGTGCCTCTTCACTGCGGCCTAGGTTGCCCTAGGCACCCCTTCTCGCGAACTTACGGGGCTAATTTGCCGAGTTCCTTAACTATAGTTTTCTCGCTGGCCTGAGGATTTTCTCCCCGACCACGTGTGTTCGTTCTTGGTACGAGTACCACAATTATATCTTTAGAAGTTTTTCTTGGAAGCAAAGCGTTCAGATAATTCGGTTGCCCTACCCATCATACTTCAAGGTTATGCCTGGCGGATTTGCCTACCAGACCCTCTTTGTACTTGGACCAGAATCAATAACTGGTTTATCTTAGCTGGCTTCGTCACTCCATCAGTAATTATGGTGAGTACAGGAATATTAACCTGTTATCCATCGACTACGCCTTTCGGCCTCGCCTTAGGTCCCGACTAACCCAGGGTAGACGACCTTCACCCTGGAAACCTTGGTCATTCGGCCAGAAGGATTCTCACCTTCTATCGTTACTCACGCCGGCATTCTCACTAGTAAAAACTCCACTAATCCTCACGGTTTAACTTCAACGCTTTTACTACGCTCCCCTACCGCTAGTTGGCAATAGAAAAATTAAATCTTTGATTTGATTTTCTTGGAAAAAAATATTAATTTCATTTCTTTTTATTAGTTCCTCATTTATCTCAACAAGTTAGACAAGAATTCATCCCCACTTTTCCATCTAATTTATTTTTTATTTCCCAATATTCTTGTCCTGGTTTGAATGGTTTTTTACATTCGGAACATTTATTTAAATCAATTTTCATGTCATTCATATATGTATATATTTTATTTTATTTTATTTTATTTTATTTTATTTTATTTTATTTTATTTTATTTTATACTTATCTAATTGAATTAAACGACTTATTTTTGCTATCAATAATCTTTTTATTACCAACTAGCCTATGGCTTCGGTATAGTATTTGAGCCCCCTTACATTCTCGGCGCTGGGAGACTAGACTAGTGAGCTGTTACGCACTCTTTAAAGGATGGCTGCTTCTAAGCCAACCTCCTAGCTGTTTTTGTCTCGCAACTTCCTTCTACACTTAATACTATTTAGGGACCTTAGCCGATAATCTGGGCTGTTTCCCTCACGTCCATGGAGCT